ACCTTTAATGAAAAGTTTCTGTTCTGAAAGGATAATCCCACCATTTTAATTACTTTGATTGAAATCTACGCCGTAGATTTCAATCAAAGTAATCAAAATGGTGGGTTACTATGGCCTTTTCACCCTTGAGACAAACACGCATGGTGGCGGTGAGCCATTGAAGGTAATCGCTTTGGGGAAGGAGGCGGTTTTTCTCACAACTTTTGGAGTTGTGCTGTCCACTTTTGTAAGCCTTCACTGTGTTTCTGTTCATGCGAACAGTCTGTTAAAGAATTGAGAAGAGACTTTTCAGTTATATCTCTTTTCTTTAATTGTTTCTTACAGAAAAATTAATGTTCGTTGATATTGAGAGAAAAAAAATTTGAGCTTGGTTTGGGCTTAACCACTAAGAAATTCAGATCATACGACAAAATGGCACCTACTGAGCTCTTTAAAACAGAAAATCAGAAATTTGCGAGCTTACAAGGAAAGGCTTGAGGCTCTTGAGTAAAGAGAGAAACAGTTAGTGACAACGCCCGTCCCATCCATTCCAACAAACGGTGAGTGCATTAAAGTCTGGTTCCTTTGTTGAACTCACTACCTCGGGTAGGACTTTTTTCTTAGAAAGCCCCTAAACTTTGGAATTTTCAATTTATTCCATTTATTATGAAATCGACAAAGCGCCTTTCTTTCAGTCGAATCTCTCTCTTCAAGCCTTATTGATCCGCGACTTGGCCTGCTCGGCATCACCTTTGTTTTAATCCAAAAGTTAAAAACTAAAAACCAACATTGTACTGTATTGAACTGCATCTGCCCTTGACTGGGATATATCAACTTTAACGCGTTCGGGACGGATCGACTCAACTCTGCGATGCTATTTTGTTTTCAGCCAATATGAAGATCATTCACAGGTCTAATCGTCTGCACATGAGGTTCAAAGTTCAGCCAAACAAAAGATGCTCTTTAGATACAAGAAAGAATATTGTAGCAAGCAAATGTGTGATTGTAAAAGAGAATATTCTGTTTACCAATTTTGGCTAGAACAGTCAATGGCTTGTGGAATACACGCGATCAAAATGAAGGCTGCATACAGCAATATAGACGGTTTCGGATTGTTTCATTGTGAACAAAACTTAAATTTTGTATTGAAAGATACCCTAACCAACAATGGTAACAAGTGAACGCCTTCCTTCCCAAAACCCTCCATCATTTTTCCCTCTCAATTTCGCTACAAGTTATTATTGAAAAAAACAATAAGTTGTTAAGTGTTGTTTTTGTTTCTCAGTTAGTAAAACAATATGTCATCAGAGTATAGTT